GTAGAAACATGTGTCTAAGAATATACCAACCTATTAGACGTAGAGAAATTTGGTGGGAGATCCAATCTTAACGTCACTGATCTTGCCTTCTGAGGCATTTGCCAGCATTGCATCCGTGTCTTGCCCGTATACGGCGATGGCACCTGTAAAACATAACAATATTATTGGTACCTGCTCTCATACTTCACTCAATTAAACAGTTGTATTCCCTCTTCACTTTCAGCTTATCCAAACTAACCAGCACAACTTTATAGAAGTGATATGAGAATCTTTCGCAATCTTTAATCCATATAATTCAGTATTTGTATTTCCTCGTTTCTCTAGATTTATTTAATCAAGATAGCTAAACTATGTCAAAGGAAATGAAACGATCCATGACCAAACGAAAATCAATATTATATATACTATTATTTTGTCATTACCAAAATAGATCCATGTTTTGTATCCTAGTTCTGTTCTTTCTAAACTATGTCTGAGTCTTTACATTACTTTACATTGAGCGTAACGAATTTCCATGTTGAAAGTACATTGGACGAATAAATATATTGAATTGAATTGAATTCATATCATTATTCTCTGGATGCAGTCAATCAGACAGGTTTAGTTAAAAAGAATTGTCTACCAAATTACTTTGTGCGATAAAGTACCACTAAACACACCAACAACACAAATCCACAACATAACAAAGATCAATACGCCACTGCGGCGATAGCACTGGTAGTGGTACCCCCAAATATCCACAGATAATCTACAAATGGAGACGTCCCACTTTTTGCATTTTCAGAGTGATCACTGCCGAAGTGATGTAGGTGCGTCACGATTACTTTTTATTTACCTTCTTGGAAATTATACTTTCACCTTTGTATCCTCCTTGGTATCATACACTGTACCACTGTTGCATAAATGATTATATAACTTTCATGAGCACATATCGAGCAGTTGTCTCGATTGGTTTTACATTTTGTACAAATGACCTTATCTGTTCATGCGCAGATATCTACGAAGTAACTTATAGGCCTACGTTTATTTGTTTCTCAAAGGTATGCCAGCAAAGTGAGGTGACATATTTTGAAATAACAAACATCCCCAGTTGATTTCACAGCCATGCTGTACATACCAGCGACATGAGGGCAAGCCATGGAAGTTCCACTGATTGTTCTTTCTGTTCCATCTTTCCACCAAGAAGTGATATCAGTGCCGGGAGCCCAGATGTCCAATGTGCTTCCATAGTTGGAAAATGATGAACGATTGTCATTGATATCGGTAGCTCCAACGGTGATTGCCTAGTAGAAAGAGTTAAGTTAGAAAGTTTTTTGAGAAAGAGTTAATAGTCATAAATATCAACATTGGCCTGGTTTGAAGTTTGAAGTTTGAAGTTTATTTATTTCACATTTTACATTGAAAAACAGTTTAAATTCTTTTCTGTTTTATACAAGCGTAAAGATTTCAAATTAAGCATAATGTTCGGAAAATAAGTACGAAGTTTTGAAATATATAGAAATGACAGGCAAGGTAAAAAAAAAAACAATGTGAAACGTGGGGAGCCTAAATAAAAAGCATAGCTTGTATGTGAATAAGCTCCCGTACTGAGTAACACAATATAGTAGGTCTGAATTTAAAAGGTATTATAGGAGGCAAAAACGGAGTGGTATAGTATGAGATTTTAGAGACGTACAAGGAGAGTGAATTTAAGAAGAAAAAAAGAATAGAATAAAGAGTAAAGAAAATAATATAATAATGATAAGTAGGAGGAGGTAAAGAAGGGAGGAAAGAAGAAGAAGAGGAAGACGAAAAAGAAGTGGAAGAAGAAAAGGCAGAAGAAGAAGAAGAGAAAGCAAATTGATGAAACCAATGGCATTGTAAAATAACAAAAACAAAGTCTGTATAACCACCTGTACGATCCAGCGCGACATCAACATTAATTTTGTACATACTTACTCAAAAGGAAAGCCCGAGCTTTCGTTTAATTTACATGAAAAGTGATCACATAAATAAAGAGCCTACCCCTATAGGGATGCTCTTTAATATTCAAAACTATTCAAAAACGTCGTTTTTCCAAAGGTTCGTAAATCCGAAACACAAATTTCCTACTTTGAACTCCCCGAATAAAAGATAGAAAAAATAAAGAATCAGATTTTTGCGCGAGAGCATCACAATGTTATAATGAAATTAAAGAGGTTGACTAGTAAAGTAAAACAAAAAAAGGAATTTGCGACCTTTCTCATGTTGGTTTAGATGAATATCATAGTAATGAATATATAGTTGTAACCATGTGAGAAAAAAAATCCACTTAATGTGGACAATAAAACAAATCAATCAATCAATCAAAATGTTTCCCGAAAAGGATTGTTCTTAAAATGCCATGGTATTTAAAATATGACAAGAAAAAGTCAAAAAGTTTGGATCAAAGATTTTCACTTTCGTATTTAGTCCCATAAACCATATGGTTAAGTCAAGAAATTTCTTTTAAACTTTATCACTCCATAATTTAACAGTACACGTTGATTGTTATGTAATGCATACTAAACTTTCCCCATTTTAGTGCTTCTAGACAGTTTCTTTCGAAATGTATGTAATTGCAGTATTCATTTTTTTAAAGGTATTTGAAAATGGGAATGTAAATAAAAATATATTGAAAGTCATTCATTGTAAAGTGAGATCTTAGGTGCTCAAACTGAGGGCTACCCAACCTACCTCCTCTAAACGAGCTGGAGAAGTGTTTTGGGCATCTTCGTTAGAATTCCCGGCTGCCACTGCGGTGGGGATGCCAGCATCAATCATACTCTTGACAGCTCTGTCCAATGTTAGTGAGGCGCCTCCTCCCAGAGACATGGATGCGACACCCTTGTTGTTATTTGCCTGGACATCGCTAATCACAAAGTCACATCCTGCCATGAGGCGAAAAAAAGTATTGGTGGCAAAAATAAAATAAAATATTGAATTAATAGCACGGCTTTCACATGGTCTACAATTTGGGAATCAAATATCTAGGAGAATATTGGGCAATTGACAGCCTAGCCTGCTTGACACCCTGTATAAACTTGTTTACTTCCTCGCCAATCTTTTCATAAGAAATGTCGAGAACCAAAGAATACTTACACTTAATTTCAATTAAATTTCACTTCTAATGCATATGTCCGTTTTATAAATTGTTAAAGAATTAAATTTAATCTTAACGTTTTTAAAGCCAATATTCGGATCGAACCAATCGCAATATATTATCAATTTCACTGACTTCGAAATTGACAAAACATATTTAAAGAAAATAAGAAAATACAGTTTATCCAATGTTTTATACAGAAGATTGTTAATTTGTCAATTTTCGGCCTCACGTAAACTCTCAAATAGTAATGAGACTGTAATAACGTTTTGTCCAAACTTTAAGATTTGGTATCAAGCAATGAAACTTATCGCCATCCGCCCCCCTAAAGAAAAAATCATGAAGTTGAAAAGGAAGGCCCTACCCAAAATTAGGTGATCCATACAAAGGCCGACACATTTGTTAACTGATGTACAAAGTATTAAATTCATACGTTGACAAGAAGAAGATGTTAACAATCAATATAAATGAAGACCAATAGTTAACAACATATACGTTTAACACATTATATCTTATTTTCTCATCAACTTTTGTCAACTATTAAAATCAATGATAATTTTATGTACATCTCGGGTAAACAAATTCCTTGAATTTACCCTTTAAATGTCGCATTATAAGTTTTACAAAATGAACCTACCGATGTATTAATGGATATGTTCATTAAAGACCTATGCTGTGTTTATTTCTGAACTAATGCAAATCTTAAGATATGTTTTATGCTAATGACCTACCTCCTACGATTCCAGAGGTGCTGCCACTCCCAATACAATTAAGTACTTTGACCCCAACAATGTTCACTCCTTTGGCTACACCGTAAGTTGTAGACCCGATGGTACCAGCGCAGTGGGAGCCATGGCCGTTGCAATCTTCCTAATAGGTAAACAATAAAAAAACATAATAATGAACCTAAACCGTTTTTCCCACCAACTACTGCTCGGGATCATAGTCAATAAAGGAGGCCTATGAACCAGTTTGTATTGTAATGTGGTTATAATTATAACGTGATTTCATAATTATTTAAACTTTTACATACACTCAGCAACAACAAAATGGACACTATTCATATTTAAGATCTTCAAATAGTGTATAAACTTATCTTTCAGATCAGTTTAGGCCTCCTTAACGTGATATGCAATTGGAATTATACCATTCACGTACGTAACGAGTGAGCATTATATAAATGATTCTCTGAAAGAACATTGCAAAAATGGGGCATATGGCCATGAAAATGAGTCATGAGCATTCCCATCTTCTAGAGTCAAATTAAAACAATGAAGACAAAAAACAACCAAGAGAAACAGGAAATGAGAGGCATTTTACTGTGCTTGTCGAAACCATGCATTCCTAAGACTACAGTTGACATCCAGAGCTCAATCCTCCTAAATATTTTTCATTCTTTGCTTTCATTGTTAAACAAGAATATCTTACATATGAACATGTTCAATGATATTTGAACGGCTACTAACTCTAGTTTTGCAATTTCCTAAATCAGGCCTTCTAAAGATTAAATTAATGCACCATCCAAGCGTGAAATTTTAAAACTAAATCTTAAAAGGGAATTAACCTCTCGACTTTGAAGCATTATCATAGTAAAACAACGTTTTATTTGTTATAAAAGGCATTGCTGTATGCCAAATAATATCGTCTTGCAAGTATAATAAAGAGACCCTCACTTCGCCATTTCTACGGTGTCGTCTGCTCTCTATTAAGGAAGCTGCTATTTTGTCAAAATTTCCCTTAAAAACTTCCGGATTGTGACGTATCGCAAGGAAAACTGTTGAAGCGCGCAACGCGCGGGTTAGATGCAATACACGTCAAACATGGTGTAAAGCCTAGTTTTTGTTGTAATAATTGTCCCTCGAAAACCAAGGGGATATCGTTTCATCGGTTTCCAGACTATAGACCAACACAATCGCAATGAGATATTCAAGCTATAGGTAGCAGCTCCGAAGGTGGAGAAATTTCTCGACAAAAAGTACAAGTACCACAGGAAAAACGATGTGATCTACACGATATAGCGGTCGGATCCATGCGATACGTCACAGAACGGGCCGTGCGAAAGCACAATGGCGAGAGCCGCGAAAGACGAAAGATTTTGAAGAAGAGTTACGTCCTACCTTCGTCAAATGTATGGTGTTTAATATTTTTCAGATAATGTTTTAAATGGCCTATACAAACTGAAATTAACTTGTAGTTTGAGGTTAATGATGTTGGTCGAATATTATTGAACAAAATTTTGAACAATGTCGAGTGTCCGCCTTCTCTTTTTCATGAGTGCATCATGATGTATAAAATAAGATAACAGATCAGAGATTGCAATAGTTGAGTCGCTTCATTTTGATCTTCCTGTTGACTATCTCAAATCACAATTGGGATTTATTCAACGTAACATTGGTGGGAAAACAATTACCTCTTTAGTGTTTCCAAATTGTATAAAGGCATATCATATTTTCGGGTTTCGCGCCTTCTTCCTTGTAATACAAGTTCTTTAAATATATTTATGTTCCTACTTATAAATTGTATTGTTTGGAAGAAAATAAATGTTCATTTGAATTGAATTGAATTGAATATTGCGTCACATTGATTCTGGATAAACTTACGTTGTCTCCTCTGGCAAAGTTTGCCTTTTGTTCTGCTCGGCCTCCAAAATCACTTGACGCATACACGCCAGTGTCAATTACATACACGGTGTGGCCCGCGCCAGTACCTGTCGTGTTATATAATAGATACATAAATAAATGAAAAGATAAAAATATTAAGGAAAGAAAAAATATTATTTATATAAACACAATATACTATGATATATTCATGTGTATTCTAAATACATGATTGGTCAATTCATGGTGCTCACGTGATAAAATATGATATACGAAAAAAAAAACCTCTGCCAGAGCTCCGAATAGCTTTCACTGTTTTTTCATGGGCCGAACTGTGCATGTTCTATTTGATATTTTTTTCCAAGGCACTATTCTGCGCATGCTCACTGTTCATTGACAAAATTGAGTCCTTAACGTTCGTTCGTGTCTCCTTAGATCAAGATAGTTATGTAAAGTTCCTTAATTAAAATTAAATTAAATTAAATTAAATTAAGTTCTTCCATCGCCCGATTGCTGCAAGGGCCGTTACATTTACAAGGGCCAGGTCTTCATCTGTGCAACCCGTTCCACCGCACTGCAAGATGTGGTCCATCGTCTGAGGGTAAGAGGACATTTTTTTTTTTTTTTTTTTTTTTTTTTGGGGGGGGGGGGGGTCCCAAATTTTTGTATAACGACTCAGCCAGCCGCTGAATAAGCGGGGGGTGGGGGGGGGGGGGGGTAAGAGGACACATATTTTTTTTAATTATTAATATATATTTTTTTTATTACAAAAAAAAAAAAAAATCAACACTCAAAAGGGGAGGGGGGGGGGGGTTCCCAGAAAAAAACATACACATAAACAAAACTCAAGGGGGGGGGGGAAACTAAGCCGCGGAAATAATTTCCACTTTAATTTCTCACAGCTTGGTATATTTGTATAATATATATATATATATATATATATATATAGAACAAATAATGTTATGATGATAATCCTCTCTCATGGTGATATACAAATAATTAATATATATATAAAAATGTAATAATAATGATAATAATCATAATAAAAACGATAATAAAAATAGTAATCTTTGTAAGGGCGTCGCTATGCGCATTTTCTGTATTGCAGATATGAAAAATCCTCTAATTCTCAAAAGGGGGTGGGATGGGAGTGTGGGTCACTGAGTTTCATCCTCCCCCCCCCCCCCAAATATAAGTGCCCGTATGTATAGATCATAGTGTTATATTCCTTACCTGAAGGGGAATAACTATTATCGAGTGGGAGATCACGTTGATCCACACGGTCCAGACCCCAGGTCTCCTGAGTAGTGTAGACACCGTCTTGCTCCACGTACTCAACGGCCGAAAAGCGGCGAACCTAGCTTGTCAATAGATATAGATATACATCAGCCTCTGGACAACCAATAGAAAGGCTAGTCCATATATGACGGTGTTTTCCTTTGTATGTTCTACATATGTAATTGAATGATGGGGTTGACAAAAAAGTAGAAGCGCACAACAAAGATCCTCCCTATATAAACTTGTCTCTGTGTTATGATATATAGATAATATTAATGGATGCATTAATTTGCGCTTCGTAGAAAAGAAACAGCTATTATCATTATTTGTTGCAGTTCGCAAATTAGTGTAAAAATCCTCAGTAAAACGTACAAAAAAATCAATTTGAGAGGAACTTACAATATCTAGGACGTTGTCCGACAACTCTGCAACGAATCCACGGATGGCATGCTTGAAGATGGAACCAACACGTCCACCTGACAGACGAACGGAAGAGGCGACGGCATCGATATCATATTCATCCTGTAAAAGTGACATTAGTCAAATCATGTCCAATCATCACAAATGTTTAGATTATGCGTGTTTATTTAAACAACACTAGCATTAGGAATAACAAAAACAACAACAATATCGATAATAATGATAACTGGACAAACAATATAACATATTGCTATGGTAGCCATGATCTTAAACTACACACGCTCCTTCCATGCAGTTTCTCATGTTTTTCACCTCGGCGAAGAGTGGCAAATATAGATGAAAGCCTTTAATACAAAATGTCTTTACGGTGCCGATCTTTGAATTTCCAGTCAAAATTTCAACCAATTTAATCACGACAACTATATATAAATGTATTTCCTCTCAATAGTTTAGATAAAAATTATGGAGTTGTCAGTTGCGTATACGGATAATAAAAAACATGCCCCCCCCCAAAAAAAATAAATAAATAAATAAATAAATAAATAAAATAAAATAAAAAAAATAAAAAAATAAAATAATAATAATTTAAAATATATATATATATATATATATATATATATATATATATATATATATATATACATATAAAATATAACAAAAGAGTTAAAGGAATGTGTAATCAACAAGATATCATATTTATTGTGAATATTATCGAAAGATAATTACCTAACTTTTTACAATTTTGCATGAATAAACTTCATATTTGCCTGCTCCATTTATGTAAAAAGAATTTGGAAAAAACAGTTGAATGATAAGATTACTTTACCTTGAGTTTGATGATGAACTTTCCTGGAATGGGTTTGGAGTTTTCAAGGAGTGGAGCCAACTCGGCGGTCGCAGCCGCCACCAGGAGAAAAGTGATGAAAGCACGCATCTTGACTGAAATTAAGATAAGCAAGAAACAAACTGCCAAGATAATGATAATGATTTTTAAAAATTACTCAGTCATTCGTGAATTACATTTACAGAAAAGCAGAAAATCGGACATATTTCAATTACAATATGGTTCCTGGTAAACTATCTATCTAGTATACATGCAGTAGTAACACCGTTAACTCTGGTAGAAATATATAACTTTGTAGGGGAAACAGAAGAAAATGGGGCATACTTGACTGAATGAAACTCCTGCCTATATACTACCCATCACCCAGCAGTCTAAGGTAGCACTACATTAATCAGATGTAATACGAGCTTAATAGGTTCCTCCATAATTGAAAATCAATGTGAAAGAATACTCACCTGGTTGTAGATTTGAGATCGAGTTCTACAGAATAATCTTGAAGAAAGCTCAGCTCAGTTCATCTGATGATGGGTGTGCCGAGATGAGCTGTATTTACGTTTTCTTGGAGACTGACAGATGTGCGTTCTCACCATACTCACATTACTGAATATTTACTTAGATTGTAAAGAAAAGGCACGTGTAAATATTGCATCAGTAATTTCTAAAAAAAGTTATCTTATGTATATATAAGATGATTAAGTTAACTATTTTTTTGTCAATCAGAGGGAGGGGAGAGAGAGAGAGAGAGAGAGAGAGGAGGGGGAGAAGAAAAAGAGAGGGACAGAGAGATAGAGAGAGATATCATGACATAGATATTATATTAAATACAAATACATATGCCATTAGCATTGACGCAAGTGAATTATTAGCCTATCAGCATCACGTGATAAGGAAAGGTAGGGGAGATATGACAAATGTTGATTTTAAAGAGAGAATGTTCAGTGTGGGGTTATTTCTACTTTCCAAAACTGAAAGAAATCAAAATTATGTTAGCAAGAACTCCAATACATTCATAACAAGTTGGTACGAATATTGATCATATCACGCTGAGCTTGTTCAGGGTAGTTGTTCAAGAATGGTTCAGAATGGACAATGAAATTCAATGTAAATTTTGATGCAATGTGCAGCTGTCGTACTAAAGATCTTGTAACTGAACATAATGTTAAAACAATAAGGTGTTTCCTAAATTGGAAATGAGATAGTGAATGGCTATTTCAACCAGTTCATTTGGCTCTTCAGGTTAATCATCCAGTATATGCATAAAAATTAATATATGCATGCACATATAAAAGCATATTATTATTATATACATCCAGTTTGGTTGGATTTTTTAAAAATACTATCGTATTTTGAGGTACACGTTTGAATATGGAGAGGGATTTTTTCGAACTTTTTCATCAAAGCAAAAAATGTACAAGGTGTTTTGTTAAAGTAACCTAGCGGGTTTTCCATAGAGGGTCATATTTTCACTTTGATAATCATCCCTTTACATTTTCGTTTATATCTTAATCAAATGATTGCCTACACGCAGTGTAAGAATCACAATAGTAATTAAATATTGTATGATAGGGAAAGGTTGTTTCCCTTCTTTTTTTTTCTTTTTTTCATTTTTATATCACTTCATGAATTATCATAAAAAGATAAAGTAAGTGCAACAGGGTATAATAAACAATATATTTTTTTCTCGTCAACCAGAAAGAAAAAAAAAAGAAATTGACGAATTTGCCTTTTTCGACATATTCTTAAACCAGAAGAAATCACCTAGAAAATGAATAGTTAAACATTAAATACTTTAAAAATGAATTTTGATATATCGAGAAGTTTGTCAGACCTTGCACTCTTGCGTATGGCATGACAAAGGAGAATATACCACATCTGTTAAAATTACACGATTTTTATCACAAAAATTTGGCTCTAAAATTAAACGTGGCAGCTGTACCCTGATATCAACGCCATTAATTTATACTTTTAAGTTTGATATGTAAGACATATAGAGAGATATAAGTAAACAACGCAAGACTGTCTCGTGGCCACGTTTCTTCTTTTTCTACATTCTGTAATTATTCTATCGCCATTCCTCTCTGTTATATATTCTTTTCTCTCCAATCCTGTCTCTCGTTACCTATTATGAATGTTATCATATTTTCTCCTCCGCACACGTACCCCTCTTAATTTCATTCCTCTTTTCCCCCTTATCTCCCCCTCTTTTACGTGAAACTGGTTGCTTTCTCGTATTTATATCCTCATTTCTATCTCTCTCTTACATCTTCTATCACATATTCCCTTAGCTCATCATGCTATCTTCATCTTTCTACCGCTCTACCCTCCTCAATCCCTCTCTTCATTCTCTTGAAAAGTTATTTTCTTCTATATTAATTTTTCTGTTCCCATTTCTCTGTGTGTGTGTGTGTGTGTGTGTGTGTCACATTTCCATACTACCACTTTCTTTCTTCTCTTGCTATCCTTCTATCCCCATCTCTCTATATCATATCTTCTTTCCTCCACATTTGCCTCTCGGTCCATATAATGAATTTTGTCTTCCTAAATCCTCCGCTCATGTACCTCTCAAAGTTTGTCAGACCTTGAACGCATACGTGTGATGCAACAGAACAGAATATACCACATCTGTTACAAAGACACGATGTTTATCACAAACCTGACCTCTAAAATGAAACGTGGCAGCCCTACCATGAAATCATACTTTTAAGTTCGATATGTTAGATAGAGAAATATGAGTAATTAATGCAGGCCTGTCCGCAAATCAACTATGTGTGTCATAGACAAGACAAATCAGAAGCAGATTCTGCTGGTCATTGAAGAGTTAAAATGATAATTTTCAAATGAAGTTATTTGCAATATTCTATACGTGAATGTATTTGTATCATATCCAAACTCTTGCTTTCACCTGGACAACTAAATGAAACCGGGTTCCTGTATCACATTCTTTATCTCTCACATGTTCTATCACACTTTACATTAACTACATCACTTTTTTCTTTCCCCTTCCCCCTCTTTTGAATCGAATTGAATTAAATTTATTTAATCACGGTAAAACTTACATTAGCCTAAAAAGACTGTTTTCCAGCAAGTCCGTGCTAAAAACATAAAACAGATCAATTAATATAGACACCAAATTGAATATAAATACATAAGAAAAACTACTTAAAGATGACAATATAAAAAAAACAAAGTGAAGAGAGAAAGGTAATACATAAAAAGGAATTACATGTACACGCATAAACAAAAAGTATGATAATTATGATTGCTACTGAAACTAACTCCTTGTTCAGATGATTTGGTAATTCTTGTCGGTCTTTAGGAGCGTAGTGACTTATGTATCACATTCTGCATATAGAAATATAGTACAATGTCTAAGAATGTTGGTAATATCATTGATATTCAAATTAAATAGAAACGGGCCAAGTATACAATTCCACCGCTTACAGGTAAAGGAGTTGACTTTTCACCATTTATTAACTGTGTCACATTCTTATTTTGTCATATTTCTTCTCCATCTATACATTATGTCCTTATTCTATCACTATTCCTCTCTATCATACTGGAATAATCTTTGTAAGACTGACCAGGAGAAAACGTTTACGAAATCAATTTAGGGCCTAATCAGTGGCGTACCTGGGGTACTCCGTCAGGGGGGGCAAGCGACCGAAACAAACAAAAAAGGCGATGCTAATTTTCACTTCTGGCGAGCGAGCGAGCAAAAAAAAAATCTTTAAGTAACGTTTGGTATATAAACTGGTATTGTTGCAAGTTGGGGGTGGGAACATTCACTTGTTAGCGACGTTAATTTCATTTTTTTTGCAAACGAGTGTAGCGAGCAAGAAAAAAAATCACGTCTTTTTAATAATTGCCACTTAAACTTGGTTCAATTGTCCCATGCAGGGCGCGGGAACAATATTGTGTTTAGGGTGATTTTATACCCATTTTAGCTAGCGAGCGAAAATACATCTTTCTCTCAATGAATTGCTATATAAAATTTGTTTCATTGTTGCAGGTAGGGGGCGGGCACAATCGTGTTTAAGGTAATGTCAATCCCATTTTGGCGGGCAGGCAACCCCCTACATTTATCTTTGTAATGATATTGTAGCAGGTTAGTGGTGAGCACATAATTCCACGAGCTAGCGAGCGTAGCGAGGGAAAAAAAAAAAAAAAAATTCTTTTATAGGGAAAATATGGTACATAAAACTTGGGTTCATTGTTCCATGTCAGAAACGTGATTATTAAAAGCGGTGTTATTTCTATTTTGGCGAGCGAGCGTAGCGAGCGAGCAAATAAAAATCACTTCTCTTTTATAGGGAAAATATGGTACATAAAACTTGGGTTCATTGTTCCATGTCAGGGACGTGATAATTAAAAGCGGTGTTATTTCTATTTTGGCGAGCGAGCGTAGCGAGCGAGCAAAAAAAAAATCACTTCTCTTTTATAGGGAAAATATGGTACATAAAACTTGGGTTCATTGTTCCATGTCAGGGACGTGATAATTAAAAGCGGTGTTATTTCTATTTTGGCGAGCGAGCGTAGCGAGCGAGCAAAACAAATCACTTCTCTTTTATAGGGAAAATATGGTATATAAACTTGGGTTCATTGTTCCATGTCAGGGACGTGATTATTAAAAGCGGTGTTATTTCTATTTTGGCGAGCGAGCGTAGCGAGCAAAACAAATCACTTCTCTTTTATAGGGAAAATATGGTATATAAACTTGGGTTCATTGTTCCATGTCAGGGACATGATTATTAAAAGCGGTGTTATTTCAATTTTGGCGAGCGAGCGTAGCGAGCGAGCAAAAAAAAAATCACTTCTCTTTTATAGGGAAAATATGGTACATAAAACTTGGGTTCATTATTCCATGTCAGGGACGTGATAATTAAAAGCGGTGTTATTTCTATTTTGGCGAGCGAGCGTAGCGAGCAAGCAAAACAAATCACTTCTCTTTTATAGGGAAAATATGATATATAAACTTGGGTTCATTGTTCCATGTCAGGGACGTGATTATTAAAAGCGGTGTTATTTCTATTTTGGCGAGCGAGCGTAGCGAGCGAGCAAAACAAATCACTTCTCTTTTATAGGGAAAATATGGTATATAAACTTGGGTTCATTGTTCCATGTCAGGGACGTGATTATTAAAAGCGGTGTTATTTCTATTTTGGCGAGCGAGCGTAGCGAGCAAGCAAAATTTTTGTAATGATACTTGGTTCATAAATTTCAGATTTTTTTGTTGCAGGGCAGGGCTTACACAATCATGTCTAAGGTGATGTTAATTCCATTTTGGCGGGCACAAGCACACCAAAACTTCTTTGAATAACGTTTGGTACATAATTATTAACTGGTTATTGCAGGTTGGGGCGGGCACGTTAGCGGTGTCAATTCCATTTTGGCGAGCGAGCATAGCGAGCAAGCAAAAAAAAAAAAATTCTCTTTTAATAGAAATTAATAAATAAACTTGTTTTTATTGGTGCAGGTCAGGATGGACGCAATCGCGTTAAACGCGATTCAATTCCTTTTTGGCGAGAGGGCGAAAAAACTCTTCCATTTTTAATGATATTGTTGCAGGTCAAGGGTGGGCACAATTATTGTTTCCAAAGCAATGTCTATTTATTTTATTCGCGAGCGAGAAAAATGAATTAGTCTCTTTTAGTAACATTTGGTACATATATTATGTGTTATTGTTGCCATGGTTGCAGGTCGGGGCCCGTCGGGGCAGGCACAATAATCTAGGCAATACTAATCCTTTTCTTTTTTCAGGGGGACGAGCAAGTGAAAACATTTAATACAAAATAGGCTAGCAAGCAGTTCGCGCCAGCGAAGAGTTTCAAATTTGTTATATCACTTATATTTTCCTATTTTTATTTGTTTTAATTTTTCAGGGCCGTATGCGGAATATTTTTCTGGTGGGGGAGGGGGAAAGATGCGTTAAAAGTTTTCGAAGAATCTCAAAAGCAAAAGGAGTGAAGGGAGTTCGAGCGACCGAACTGGTCATGAGGGTACTTTTGCATTTTCAAAAGTAGAATTGAAGGATTTGGTATAGGCCTACACTACATTTTCAGGAAAAAAACTGTACGTTTTCAAAATATCTGGGGTCAACTGCCCCCCCCCCCTGGTGCGTACGGCCATGGTCTTTTTTTTTTTTTTTTTAATTTCCCCATTTTTATTCCTTTCCTTTTCTTTTCCCTTTTTCTTCCTTTTCTCTTCTTCTTCCTTTTTTTCTTTCCTTTTTTCCTTTTTTCTCTTTCTTTCCTTTTTTCTTCCCTTTTCCTTTTTTCTTTTTCTTCCTTTTCCTTTCTTTTCTTTTCTTTCCCCTTTTTCTTTTTTTCTCCTGGAGCCCGTCAGGGGGGGGGGGCACTCTGCCCCCCTGCCCCCCCCATAGGTACGCCAGTGGGCCTAATCATCGGAGCAAATGATTTTTCCCCTCGGGCAGCTGCTGTCGTAAAATTGTTTCCGTGTTAAACCCTAGATGGCGCACTTTCAATTAACAAGCTACACTTGCATGAATTTCAATGTAAAAATGGTTAAACTCTGAACTTTGCATCGCACTATCAAATATACCAATCTTATCAAAATCAGGCATACTCTCTGCGAAATGCCAGTTTAATCCTATTTCATTGGCCTTAGCACATGAGATCATTATTAAATTGTTCAAAATATATATATACTAAGACATTAATCAAGATTAATACCGTGAAACATGTTAACAATCGGACTTGTGATAGCGTATCATCACCTACTTCAATCTCATTTGGAATAGTCTCTGATAAATAGGTATAGCAGCTTCAATGCATTCGCGTACTTCGGCTGTCCAACTGCTCTCGTCAAAGGAATCTTCCTTTCCTCCGTTATCGGAAGGGTTAAACTTTGAACTTTTCATCGCACTATCAAACAGTCCAATCTTATCAAAATCAGGCATACTCTCTGCGAAGTGCCAGTTTAATTCTTTCACATTGGCCTTGCCCCATGAGAGCATTTTGGGGTCGTACTCGAGCCCCGTCGCTCGGCAATACATCGGGAGAATTCGGTTGGGTTCGGAAAGCAATTCGTCTGCATCAACAATGACGGGTTTCTGTCCGAATGTTTCCTCGATGTGGTGCATGACATCGGTGATTTCTTGGTATCCTGAAATGAATTTTATTGGGATAGAAGTAAACCATGTTACGATAACCATATTTATAATCATATTCATATCATTACCATGTATAGCATAACATTGTGTGAAACTAGTAACCAAAGTTAGCAATCTTGTTTCTATACCAGGAATGTCTTCTAAAATATTCAGTTCAATATTTCACATTCAACATCCAAGGCAGAGATATGATAAGGGAGAAGAAACAAGCAAACATCTTGGTGTCATCTTCTTAAATGCCACCGTCAACGTAATATTTTGTTTCAATGTGTAACGTACAATAAGGTAAATTCATATTTTTGTCAGGACGGACACAAAATATGATCTTTTGTCAATGTTTTAGGCACAGGTTTAACCACTATGTAATTTCAGATTCCTCTTTCCATTGGTGAACCAGATTTTCAAATGTTTACGATTTGTGCACGAACTTGGCTTGGCTTGTTCGCGAAAATTGTTACACTACCATACATTATTTAGAACGACCTTGAATTTGAAGATGACGAAAGTTCCTAACCTTGTCCGTACTCCTTCTTAACGTTAAATTGATGGCCTTGAGGCAATGTATCTGATAACCGCTGGATAGAAGGAAATGTCTTCCTGGGGTCCCTGATGAGAAATGTATGTCGATAGGTCTTTGGAATGAACTCAAACTTATCCATGATACCAATAGTTACATCCTTAGCGAACAGAAGCTTCGCCCCGGGAAAGTCCCCATCAAGGAAATCTGTAGGAGATGAGAGAACGAAAGAGGAGGAAGTTAGACCAAGAGGATGTAGGGTAACGGGTGGTGTCGTGTGAAGGTGTCGTGGTATAGTGGTACGCTCACTTAACTCTCAATCCAATGATTGGGGGTTCGAATCCCAGCTCAATAATTGCAGGGCCCTAAGTAAGAACACCATGCATGCAGATGCTGACAATAAGGCTTCCCTGGGTAAACACACATTTAAAAAAATAAAAATTTGCAGAGGGAGAGAGATTGGGGACAGATAGGAGGAGGGAGCTATAGGGGAGAGATTACGACGATGATCATGACGACATGATGATCAATACTGTAGAAAATAATACATAGTCTGTAGGATATTATCCCGGGGGTCTCATTCAAATATAAAATACTGTAAGCATGCGTGACCAAGAAAACGCGTATAATGGGGTGGGTTTTCGGGAGATTGGACACGATCCGCGCGGTGCCCCATTAAAGGGGTTAAAAAGGTCAATTTGAGGCCATTTTCAAGAAAAAGGGTATTTTTCAAAATGGTTCAAAATCCTGCTGTACGCGCCGGTATACGCGTTTAGGTGGTATTTTGTTTTTAGCCCTCAGGAGGCCCATTGACGAGACTACCGGCCACCACCTGCGCCCGTCACGCGCGCTGTTTGAAACCGAAATCCTCATTTAGGGTGTATTTTGTCTTCAGCAGAAATCCTCGTTTAGGGGGTGTCACAGGGTTGAAGTTCAGTATAAACGTATTCTAAACGCACTATTGAAACAGGAACCTTTATTTGTGTTTGATGGGTAGATGGTATATTTCCCGCTGTGATGCATGCATGCATATACAAATAACAATACCGAGCTGCACCATAATATATCCAGTGCTACATTAACAAACATGCATAATATTCCGAGTTATTCATACTTTTCAGCATAATAGTTCAGAGCATAAAGGTCGATAGTAACTCGAAACACTACGCATATACGATTAACTTTACCTCTAACATAGGCAAAAGTATATTTATCTTGAAGAAGATGTGGGCTGTCATTGGCAAAGAAATGTCTCCTTTCTGGTCCGTAGAATTCACATGAAACAAAAGGCTCCCAGAAAACCTCAACATTGGGTCTTCCAAGAGCTTCCATGCATCGTGTAAATACCGTAGTACAAGAGCGTGGAAGACTCCATAGGAACACGCGCTTCACATGCTCGGTTGTTACAGATGGATTGCTAACACGGTAGTCATTCGAAGCACCAGTCGCCATTTTGTTAGGATGATAATCATTCTATTGACTGGTTGATACACGGAATGTCAGCATCAATCACGTTATATGAAATATACCCAACGAAAAGGAGAAACATCTAAGGCCTATAGTTTAAATAGTGTAATTCACTGTTGTGTTTCAATATGCCCTTGGCAGCTAGTGATCTGACTTGCCACTGAATACAGAGCAACTTACATGCAGAATATTCATCACAAGCCAAAAGTCAAAGGGCATCGCATAGTGCAAATAATCTGTGTTGGTTAACATTTTGAATGTATGGACTATAATCTCTTACCCTTGACAGATCAGGGTTTTTTTACATAATATTATTGAACTAAGTTATGGAAATACAGTATTCCAAGTAATTTAAAAAAAGTTCAGCCGCGAAAGATATTGATGGAGTTAGTTTGGTCGAAAGACGCCTTTGATGTGTCGCCATCTTTGGTGAAATTTATGTAGAGCGCTGAAACATCGACCCAGAGAGAGAAAGTGGAAGGAGAGGTGGAGAAATTAGACAGTTATTCAGTGAGAGACAGAGGCAGAGACACAAAGGGAGAGGGAGGGAGAGAGAGAGAGAGAGAGAGAGAGAGAGAGAGAGAAAGAGAGAGAGAGAGAGGGGGGGGGGGTAGGGACTGAACAAATCCTCCCCTTAAAAAGTACAAGATAAAAAAGAAGGTAAGAATGATTTAATAATAATTCGATTTTATGTATCCATAGTAGCGACATCAGTATTAATCTTCCTGCATGCCCCGAAATTCTTTTTAATCAATACTTCCCTAAAAGTGTTAGATAGCTACGCCCATATACCTAATTAATACAACTGGGTTGAGAGTTGGGAAAAATAATGTGGGCAAAATTCCTTGTTCAGTGATTTAAGCACCAAGCAAGGATTAAACTCGGGACCTCTATCTCGTATGAGAATCAAGAGCCTTCATCAATATACCGCAATGCTACCACTCGCCAATCTGCTAGGTGTTCTATTAATTATTGAAGATGCCATTTGAAGTGTGGACAAAGTCCAATATACTGGACTTTACCTTGACATCAAATAATTAAATTGGGATTCTTGATTCGGCGCATTGTTCAGACCAAATATCAATAAGTATTATGATACGATTCAAATCTATATTCCCTAACTTATGAGATACCTATTGAAGCATTTCATATTTGATTTGATTTGATTTGATAAGGTTTTATTCGAATATTCAACAATACAGCTGGAGGCTGATACAAGTGAATTTACAAGGTAAAAATAATTCCATAGACATAAAAAATATAATTATATGCTTAAACACTTTTAAATGAATCCAGATATAAACAGTACATAGTAAATAAATCATAGATAATGAAAACAATAATAATATTGAGTTCGGTTTGCATACTTGGATATGAAATAAATAGAAATTCAAAGGGTGTAAGATCAGGTATACAGTTTGAGAGTCGGAGCAGGACATTTTGATAATGTATTAAGAAAAAAATTATTATTGATCATTAAAAAATTAAAATTAAATGATTAAACTGTAACATTTACATGAAGTATATATACAAAATAATTCGATAAAATACAATTATTAAATATTGTTATGTATGATCTTCATAAATACGTGATGTAAAACCCGGCTTGAAAACATAAAATTACATTTATTAAATTAAATTTATTGAAATAACATTAATAATTATTGCATTGATCAACTTGCATTTATCAAAGTTGAATTTAAAAAGTCAGATAATATACATTGTTCTTTTGAGTTGCATAGATTGGCAACGAAAATATCTTTTATAATAACTTATCGGATAAAAATTGCATTTAACTAAATTATATTTCTAAAAATTACATTTCTTTTCACAAAATCAAATTCTTAAAAAATGCATTTTATCAAATTTCTATTTATTAAAATCATATTTATCACAACTATATTCATAAAACTAGATACAAATTCAGATAAAGGTTCAGGATTAAATAGCTAGACCTATATGAGGAGGTCGGGATTCTTATTTAGTAAACGAACAATTGATGGGATACTAGAATTGTAATATCTTGTGGTCTTGCATTTTGGTTCATGGAGAAGATGTGAGTTCCGTAACTGCCTTCCAGACAGTGATCGTCGGGACTTTGGAAGAAAGTCACGATGGCGAGCTGACGTGAGAAGGTCACGTGCAAAAGAGAGGAGAAGACCTTCTCGTCGTGAGTGGAGAGAATCAAGACGGAGGTGATCCAAAGCACCGCGGTAGGAGTCATACCCACCAAGGATGACTCGACAGACCCTTTTCTGCACACGTTCAATGTCATTGGATTGAGCAGTGGTCAGTGACGAGGACCAGACAGGTGATGCGTATTCAAGTACAGGTCTGATGTACATAGCATAAATAGCAACCAAATCAGAGGTCGGAAGTCTACATTTTCTGAGGCGATATACAATGTAGAGACGTCTGCTAGCCTTCGAAACCATCGCTGAAACATTGGTGTCCCACTTTAAGTCGGCTTGAAGATGGACACCAAGTAGCGTGAGGTGGTCGACCACGGATAAGCTGGTATCAGCGACTTGGAGCTTAGGAAACTGCACTTGCTTTACGAACGAGATATTCATGACGCAACATTTGGTAGGGTTGGGCTTCATGTCATTCGACTCACACCACTGGACAAGACTATCAAGTTGAAGTTGGACAGTAGATGGTTCATTCGCTCGGCGGATTTCTACTACACTGAGGTCATCCACATATTTCCATCTGTGGTTGAATTCACTCAGCGCATCATTAATCATGACAAGAAAAATCACGGGACCTAATTTTGTGCCCTGGGGGACTCCGCATGTAACTCCCAGATCACAGGATATGCTCGAACCAACTCTAACTGCCTGTTTGCGCTCATTCAAAAAACTACAAATCGCTGGAATCAGTGCAGGTTGTACTCCGTAGTTGATTAACTTTCCAATTACAACATTGTGATTCACGTTATCAAACGCCTTTGCGAAGTCGATCGCGCACAAAGATGCACAGTGGCCAGGTCTGTCTAGATTCTTTCCGATCGTGTCAAGAAGGCTGATGAGGTAATGTGACGTGGAGCTTCCAGCAACATTACCAAACTGCTTCTGGTCAATAATAGGTGAGAGGTCGTGAGTAACCCATCTACAGATGAAGGTTTCCATCACGCGTGAGAATATTGCAGTGATGGAGATGGGCCGTAAGTCTGATAGTTGTGAAACTTGCTGTTTTTTCGGAATAGGAGTGATAACTGCTCGTTTCCAACTCGAAGGGTAGTTCCCAGTGTGAAGAATGGCATTGAATATCACCGAGAGGGGGTCCGAGAGTTCCATTGCAAACTCCTTGATAAGTTTGATTGGAATATCGCCCGGTGCCGCTGCCTTGGATGCATTCAGCCGACGTAAGACGTTATACACTTGATGGGCATGAATAATCGGGGGTGGTAAGGGTGGAAGATAAGATGGTAGAGATGTCCAGTCCAGTGATGGGAGCTGGTTACAGATGTTAGCGAAGTGTTCATTAACCCTGGCAGCTTTCTGCGAGTCGTTATGCCCAAGGCAGGGTGGAAGGGTTAGCGAAGACTTGGTAACTCCAGCCATGCTACGAATTTGCCGATGCCATTGGGAAGGTTCACTTTGTTTCAACATTTGAACCTTCCGAGGGTAGAAAGATGCCTTGCTTTTTGCTATCTCTCGCTGGACTAGATTCCTTACGGCACGAAACCTGTCCAAGTTCCCGGAATCATACGCTCGTTGCCTATTCTCGATGAGGGCTCGGATGCGACGCGTGATCCATGGTTTGTCATATTTTGCTCGTTTAGATGCGACTAATGGGAAGTGTTCATGATACGCCTGGATGAGCATTTCCTGAAAGGCCTCTACCATTTCATCCGTAGTAGTATCAATGTGATGTAACCAATCAAACTTATAGGCCGTTATCCATCTCCCAAAGGATCTAATATTGGAGTCCCGAAGAGGGCGTCTGTAGGTCTTGACGACGTTGTCTGAAGAAAGTTGAGATGATCCAGTCATCAGCACGGTAGCATGGTCAGAGTTGGCTATTGGAGCTTTGATAAGGGGTTCGCTATAATGCTCTGGATGATCAGTAAAAATCATGTCTAGAATGCGATTGTTGCGGGTGTGTTGCTTAACCATCTGCGATAAATTGAGATGTCTCTCAAACACAGAAACATCGAGATCGTTGAAGTCTCCAACTATCAACATGGAAGAGTCTGGATGAGTGCTTCTGATATGGTCCCCCATGGTAATCAGATGGGTGATTATGTCATCTTGGTGCGGTGTACGGGGTGGAGAGTACACGACGCATACAAAGAGGTTGGCATTACCTTTCACATAGTCATACACATTAACTTTAATCCAGATTATTTCAAGATGAGGTGGGACCCGGTCAAGTTCGAATTCAACAGGATGTAAGTCCTCTCGCAAGTAGAGGGCAACCCCTCCACCCCTTTGAGCAGTTCTGTCTCGATGGAAAAGTTTGTAGCCCTGCATGGTATTGGCTACAGCAGGATTTGAATCACCAAACCAGGTTTCAGTTACACCGACAATGTCGGCATCATAATGATTAACTGTTGCAGTCATTTCATCAATCTTTTTATTCATCGACCGTACGTTTGTTAGCATAATAGTTGGATGTCTATCTTTACATCTCTTGTTAACGACTTGTATGTGTCTCAAATTAGGATTCAATTTGTGTGGAGGTTCCTTGACAGTTTTAAGCTCATTTTTCCTGCAAGAAATTCGTGTTTTGATCGGGCGACGTACTCGACGCCCAGCACGACAGCCCCGTCTGGTGATTCCTAGTTCCTTAGCAACATGACGAACTTCCTCCGATGGTTTTATTGTTGTATTACGTAATGAAAGGAGTTGTTCGGGGCTGTAAGAGGTTCTCGATACGGGGGTATGAACATCCATTGTTCTGTCCAAATTCAAAGTCTCTTGTGAGAAAGACGGTGCCTGGTAATGCCCGATATACGTGGGTACTATGTCAGTGCTCGTACATATACTGGACGCTGACCATCCTAAACTTAAGATCACAAAATGCACAAGTAGAACACAACACTTCTTTTCCATACCTGTTCTGTTTGCTCTCCGAGGCATATTCCACTGTATCACATAAAATAAAATGGTATCAACAGATAAAGAAGTACTGAAAAAGCAG